ATCCCACACACCCACACACTCACACACTCACACACCCACACGCGCCAAAAGCACTGTACGGTCCCGCACAGGCATGCACGTACTCACAGTCGACACTCTCCCGCGCACACAAAAACTCACACACTACCCAAACCACGCATCTTGAACACTTCAGAACACACTCGCACAGCCAGCTTCATACTCCCAGAGAAGAGAAGCACATTCACATGTGCACTGCAGGTGCCTCACAGAGCTGCACACACCACACGTCAACATCCTCCCTTCTTCGTACAGGCCTCGCCACGCACCTATCGCCCTGATATCCTCTGTCCACATACCCCACAGAAACACACTGGTCAGCATACCCACTATTTTCCTGAAGATACACCAGACCCAACAGCCCCCATAGACCCCACCTACCCACCCCATGCAGTCAGCCGGTTGACAGGCACGTCCTGCAGAGCGCACTACTCCATGCATCTCTGTCACATCCACTCAGGTCTCTCACATACACTGCCCAGCACTGAGCACTGTGCCCACTCTACACCCCATGCCAAAGTGATTAGGTATACCCCAAGGCTACAAGTGGAGCCCCCACCCCCTCACTTCCATGGGGAACTGTTCTATGCATCTTCCCTATGACCCCTGCTCATTAGCTGTAGCAGAGGGGCCACCACTGAGCCTACAATGGACTCCAAGCTGGCCCCTAGCCCACCTTCCAAATGTGTCAGACAAGAAGCCCCATGTGAATGCCAGGCCCTGGCCTCCTCCCCTGTCCTGGCTCTCTCTCTTTTCCCAGGCCCTTTCCCCTTTTTGGGGTGGGCTGGCAGGGGCTTTGGCTAGTGTGTGTGGAATCATCACCACCATTTCTATCACACTTGACTGTTTATAAACAACATGCACTACAGCCACTCACTGTGGCCCAGGGCCATTGCTGTGGCCCAATTTGTAGAGAAGAAAACAAGAACCAAGAACACTGTTTGCTATGACAGTACAGGGCCACCAACCCCAAAGCCACTCATTTCTATTTTGGATCTTATTGGGGAATCCTAGCCAGTGGCCAAGGAATGGGTATGGCTCCAACCCATCCCGGCTCCCAAATCTAGGAGGAGTCTGAGAGGAAGAGTCACAGGCTTGAGCCTTTTGGGAGGAGCTACCAGAAGGGAAACCCAAGAGTCTCCCTCTTCCCACCCCCATCCTGTCATCCACTGTTCCAGGGAAGACC